ATTGGTCAAATTACGGCTAAATTACAAGCAACAACAAAAGGATATTGGATAAAAATAAAAACACTTTATTAAATAAACAATACACATGGGTAACATTTCGACCATACTTATTATAATTAGTCTTCTTCGGAACGGATTACTATGAATATAAAAGAAGAAGATAAATATTAAAACATGATAATGTTTAAGTTAACATACTAAAACATTAAACATTAGTCTACTAGACTAAAACATTAAACAATTTCCTAATAATATAAACAAAATAAACAATAATCTAATTGAATCTCAAATATAAAAACGCCGGAATAATCAAATGAAACCATGACAAAATAAATTTTATATTTATATTGAGAGGTGATAAAATCTCTTCTGTCAGGAAGAGAATGTAAACAATTATTAACAGGGGTATTCTGATTTAAAATATCTTTAAAATAGATATTTTTTAGGAATTTTTTGTAGGGAAACAAAGAAAGTGAATAACGTTAAACTTTGCATGTTCTCTTCACCTTATTTTAAAATTTTATTTTTATTTAAGTAACAAAAATGCTCTTCTTTTCTGTTATATCCTGGTCACTATAAATGACAGACGGTGTAAATAATTCTAGTTGTTCTAGGTATCTGAAACACAAAAAGCTAAAATTTTCTTATTTTGCAGAAGTGTGGCTATTGTCTGAACGAGAATTAAATCAATATTTCTATTCTGTGTGTGTAAAAACGGCTTTTTTTATTAAAAATATTATAACTTTTTTCAAAATTTTATTAGTATTTTATTAAAAGAAAAAACTAATAAACAATGTTTATTCTAGTTCAGACGATAGCCATCACTTATTTTGAATAAGAAAGTTTTTGGTTTTTACATTTCTGATATTTATTAGAACAGCTGGAATCATTTACTTCATCTCTTATTTACGTCTTTTAGTGATCAAGATATAACATAGATAAGAAGAATATTTTTCTTACTTAAAAAATAAAAATATATTCTTAAAATAAGATTAAAAGAACATGCAAAGTTGAACGTTATTCGGTTTCTTCGTTCACCTAATTAAAAATTCCTGAAAAATACCTATTTTTAAAGACCTTCTCCGGCTCCAGTCGTGATCAACTTGTATTCATGCTTAAAAAGAAAAATTTATTTTACTAAAGTTATGTTATATACAAAATATTACATATAACAACTAAAAAATAAGAAGTTAACTTCACGCGTGAGAACTCATGCGGCGTTGCCAAGTAATAACTGACGCCTCTCCTCTTCTGTCATTCCTGAACCGAGCGAAAAATTCATCAAATCGCGTACTTTACACAAGTAATTCTCGAAAACGCGTACCGCAAGGGTATTGACACTTATCGCATATTATTTCTATTTTTATGTATTAAAAATTATATACTAAAATAAAAATTATATACTAGTTTTTCAAAAACATTTAGAGAAAACTTTTTTCATAATTCATTATGTCTGTATTACAATAGCTCGGAATAGGAATTCCATGTTAAAAGTTGAAACTTTGAAGCTCAATATCTCGATTTTTAATACCGTAAGAGGAATTATTAAGGTTGAAAAAAATATGTAAATATAGTATATAAAAAATATTATTAGGCTACTATAAAATCCAAGCTTAGACCGTAAATTGTTTATTTAATATTGATTAATAATATTTTTGATAAAAAGGCTGCCTAGAAAAATTGGTTTAGTTTTAGTTCAGACGATAGCCACATACTTCTTCTGAATAAGAAAATTTTAGCTTTTTGCGTTTCAGATACCTATAGAACAGCTAGAATTATTTACACCGTCTGTCATTTATACCTTCTAGTGACCAAAATACCTATAATATAATAGAAAGGAAAAGCATTTCTGTTACTTAAAAAATAAAAATAAAATTTTAAAATAAGGTGAAGTAAACATGCAAAGTTTAACGTTATTCACTTTCTTCGTTTCCCTATAAAAAATTCCTGCAAAATATATATTTTAAAGATCTTTTAAATCAAAATACCCCCGTTAATAATTTTTTACATTTTCTTCCTGACGGAAGAGATTTTACCACTTCTCAATATAAATATAAATTTATCTTGCTATGGTTTCATTCGATTATTCCGGCGTTTTTATATTTGTGATTTAAATAGATTATTGTTTATTTTGTTTATATTATTAGATAATTGTTTAATGTTTTAGTCTAGACTAATGTTTAATGTTTTAGTATATTAAATGAACATTAATTATCATGTTTCTTGATATTTATCTTCTTCTTTCGTAATAATCCGAAGAAGACTAACTATAGTCGAAACATTAACCGTGTGCATTATTTGTATAATAAATTGTTTTTATTTTAATCCAATATCCCTCTTTTGGTGCTTGTGATTTGAAAAATTTAATAAGAGTAAAAAGAACACTATAAACTACCTTTTTTTCTTGATAGTTAATATTTTACTATTATTATGCATTTAAATATTAAATTTATATATTATGCCAAAGTTAATGTTTTTAATATGACTTTTTTTCTAGATAAAAAAACATATTGGCCAGAACGGGAATTTCTATACATTCCATTTACGAATTTTTGTTTTTATGTTTATAAATGTTTATTTAATTAATTAATTTTATGTTTAATTTTAACGGTACAAAAACTACGGAAGTACATGATTATACGCGATTTTATGTTTAATAAAATTTATTTATTAATTTGCAATTTTTTTGTAAATATAATTGCAATATTTATAAATATAACAATTAAAACTCGTAAATATAAACATAAATGTAACATAGCGCATCGTCGATTTGCCAACTCGAGACTCGGCACTCGGTGAGACATGAGAGGCGATACCCGAAATGCGTGGCCTCTACAGCTCAAGAGAGAAGGAAACAGCAGATCGTATGTCTGCCCTTCTCTCCCCGCACGAAGCTTGCCGAGTGCCGAGCGTACACTGACAGAGGAGGGGCTTGCGCGACCAGCACATCCCCTCCATCTGAGTAGTTCGGACACGAACCATAGCACGGATACGAACATTACGAACCCATGTATCGTTACCCGAGATCTCTCTGATCGTTACCGAGCGTAACGCCGTAGTTAACGTCCACTTTCTCAGAGGGCAGATTAGGACAGGCGTCCCCCGAAGCGGGATGGCCGCTCTCAGGTTTCTCTCTGTCCGTATCATCGACATATAGTATGGACTGCGCGAAGGTATAGAAAAATGTGACCGGTCGGAAAGAAAGAGATAGCGACCGGTAGAGGTCAAGTTCTGTCTTTTTCTACTCAGTAGCGTGGTAACGGGCGTTTGCACCCAAGGGTCAACAATTTATTTTACATTTTTTTTAATTTTTTGCGTTACGATTTGATTCAGTGTTATATTTGTTCCATTAACGATTATTCTCATTATTTATATACTTTAAAGAGCATTTGGATACTGTTTTATACAATTTCGGAAAATAGTATAATACGCGGATATATAGTAATACAATCAAATAAATAGTAATACACAAGAATTTCTGTGCATAACCTTTTGCTTCCTCATAGAGAAAGCTGTTTTCATGAAAAAAAATTTTGCACATTTTTTGTCAAATATTGTAATATATTTTGCATTATAACCATTTCACATAACACATGTTACAAGTCAATATAAACATTATATTATATACTATATAAAAATAACAAAAATGTTACATTTAATTTTGAGAAGTTTTATTGATTTTTAAATAAAACAGTTTTGTTACATTTTGATCTTATTCTAAGCTGCTCTCGTTGTTCTAAGTTGGATGTTCCTTCGTGGTGTAATCGAACTTTAAAAAACTTTTTTATAATTTGAACAAGTAGTTTTAAACGGTGATCATCTCCGCAGTTTCCCTTATTCTCAAACACAGTGGGTGGAATATATTCAAGAGTACTTGTTATCAAGACGTTGAAAATGTTTTTGGTTTGAAAAACGTTGTGCGTTCTAAAACGTTCTTCTGCTATTAGACATGTTTGTATTAAATCAGCCGAAGCTTTCATTAATCTACCTTGACATTTCTTAGTCTGTGCGGAGAAACATTTTTCAGACTTGAGCAATTTTAAGCAATCCACATTTAACATCCGCAATTCGCATTACACATTTAACAGACTTACTTAGACTCTTAGCTATAAAACCTGCTATGTACGCGATAATGTGATTAATACGTTTTATTAACATTTATAAATACTAAGGGTATATAATAGTCATGATCCAAAGAAGTGCTTGAAGAAACCCTAAGAGTTTTACTGATTTTATGCATGTCAACAATATCATTATCATGAGTTTTAGGAGCCGGCTTATCAAGAACTTTGAGAGTTTGTAATAAACAAGTGCTATCTTGAAGTAGACAATTTGCATTTATCTGAGCCTTTGATTTGCGCATAAACCAATAACCACTTGAATGCAGACTCAAACTGCTCGGCGGTCGAGTTGTTGTTGTGTCCACCGCGAGATAAGCTTTTTCTCGCATTGATGACTCAAAAAGTTCTTCCCATGTGAGATCAGTTAGTCGAATCTTTTTTTTAGCAATAATTTCAGCCAGTGGTGGTTCTTGTTTCCGCCTATAAAACATTATACATACATATTTACAAAATTATATATTATTTAACTCTAATACTACATAAACAAAAATATATAAAAACTTAAAATAAAAAACATAATATACTTACTTATTTGATGTGGCCAACTTTTCAATACTTGATCGCAATGTTGGTTCATTGGTTGAGATATTACTGGTTTGTATGGAAGAAAATTCTGTCGTGTTCGGAATATTTATTGGAGCACTCCAAGATTTATAGTTAGTTTACTCCCTGGTTTCAGAAACCTTCTTCCTTCGACTAGTCCATAACAAAAACATTCAGTGTCAAAATGTCTCGAACAAATGGTTGTTGCTTTTCCTGGGACTTCTTCCGATTTTCCGATAATATCTAGCCATTGTTATCGATCGATAGAGTTTGACGGAAATTTACAATCAAAAAATAACCCAAAATTCACAAAAGTGTCACATGCGTGATACATAACCCAATCCAATAATTGTTTAATCTAATAATCTAATAGTATTTGTAATTATTACTCACCGATGAAACGACAAATCTTGCGATTTGTTTGATCTCTTTTTGCAGATGAAACACGTGAACACCATACTTAAAGAATATTTTTTTCAGAATTAATGTACATATGACGTTGATTGACGATAAACACACTCTTTATAAAACAAAGAAACGGGTTCATTGTCTTTACAATACGTTCCGTACATCCTCTGAGTGGGGATAAAAGCGATCAATAGAAGCATTAGAAAAAGAGAACAATTGACCTCTACCTCGTTCCCTCTTTGTCTAATTCTCCGGACACTTTTTGAAGGCTTTTGTAAGGATCGCGCAGTCCATACTATATGTCGATGATCCGTAATAAATCTCGGGTTATGTGTAAACCGAGATTTGATACGGATTTGATATAAATATAGTACTTGGTACGCGTACCAAACGGTCGGTGTATCTAAACTAAACTAGTATTATCTATACCGCGATGTACGTGATCGAAGATTTAGATATTGATGTATTTATTATATTTTTATTAGCAGACATAACTTAAGAATGCAAACATTCGCCATTTCTTATAAGAAATAAATTATAATTGTTTTTATTTATTGTTTGTTCAATTTTACTTAATTAACCTTTCACTTTAAACTTTCGTTTAAATTTAACTTGCCTCCCCCCCTTCCTGTTACCTGACTAGGGCTGAATAGGGCTCGCGAAAAAACGTGTAATAACACCCCTGATATCACTAGCTACAGATATATATTGTACATTTTATTAGCCCTGCGTAATGCGAGAAAAAAATTGAGAACAAAATTGAGTTTACAACGCGATGTGAGAAGATTTAAATTCACACGCGACACTATATGCGGAAATATGAGAATAAACCATATTACATCTTGTAGAAGTACGGGAGTGCGTCGCAGCGAGGCTGCCGGTGTTGATCGGCTCAGGCGTGACGTTGGACAACGTGGACAATTACGCGGACGCGGCGGATGCGTTGATCGTGGGATCGCACTTGAAGACGGCCGGCCGGTGGGAGAACACACTTGACCCGGCGAGAGTCCGTGCCTTCGTCGGGCATTTAAAAAATCAACAATAACGACTGCAATAACATGACTGTATAATCGACGAGTGGGAGAAACCGAAACGAGCAGTCAGCCATCTAAAAGGAACGGGCAGCTGTTCGACCAGCTGAGCGAATTCCCACCTTCGATCAACTACGTTGCCATCAGGACTGAACACTGTATCTGCAAAGCAAGTGGTCTTCGGGCCCTGAGAACCGTAGAACCATACAATGCGAAGACAATATCAATTTAAGACGATATTTGAAATCCATTACCTTTCTACATATATTAATAGAATATATATTGATTAGAATCTTGGAGAACGTAAACGATCAAGTCTAACAACTTGCATACAAGACTTTGAGAAATTGTGAAGATTCATAAGAAGATTAAGGATCGCGTATTAAAAAAAGAACACCCAAATATTTAAACTACTCATTCCAAATTTCAAGTTTTATCAATCTGCTTGTATGTGTATGTGGATCTTGCATTGTACAAATGCGAGATGTTCTCATAACAGTTTAGTTCCGAAAAAAAAAACAATGATTCTCAGAGTGAGTGAGTCATTCTCTATTATTGGTTACAAGAATATTACGTGTACCTACACTGTGAAAGATTATGCACAATGATAACAAAAACATATTATTTATTTAATAAATTGAAATTTTTCTTAAATATTGAGAATTATGTAACAAAAGACAGAAACAATAAAAATGATAGAGAGTCATATTTGTTAGTAACAATTTTAAAATAGGATATTAATTATATATCCATATAATTCTATTAATAGAAATAAATACATTCTTGTTTTATTTTTATGATTTTAACACATTTGTGAAATGCGATATAGTTGTTTTATAATTAACATAAAAGAGAAACATATATCATATTGTGTCAACTTCATATTACATGTGTTATAATCGCAATAGAATTCGTAGAAATAATTTTAATGAAAGTTATCTACAAAAGAGATTTGAAATTTCTTTCGTACTTAATTGTTTGCTTAGGTCGGCTTAGGATATGTGCTCCAATAATAAATCTGTTCATTGATAACGACCATATCTTGCAAAATCGAAAGCTCCACACATCCGAATGTAAGAAAGGTATGTGATAAATATAACAATCAGTGGAATTTACGGGAAAATTAAAAATGCAAAGGGAAGACATCAGGCCAAGAGGTAAAAAGGAATATTTACAAGTTTAACGTGATTTTAAGAATCCAAGGACGTTAAGAAGACATATGAAAGAGCTATAATTTATTTTAAATTTTAAAACTTAAAACTTGTTATTTTTAGAAAGATATAAGAATTTGTATAAGAATATTACAAATAATATTGAACATTGATTTCCGACTTTTATCTAAAAATAAACAATAAAAATGTTTTTTGCAATACACGAACACAATAATTGCAAAATTTGTGAGAAAAGAAGAGGAGAAATGAGATTAAAACTTTCTGTGAAAGTAATTAATTACATTACAAAATAAATTCGCAGCAACTTCTCGAACAAATTTATAATTCAACGCTCAACATATACGAGATATTATCAAAATAATTTGAAAGAATTTGTTAGAAAAATTTGAAAACTGTTGAAATATTTAGCAAAATTATCATGTCAGAAATATAAGAAACGTATGCATATTAGATATAAATGTAAAATACAACTTTGTCGTCAAATTCTAAATCAAGATGAAATAACGCAGATGACGATTAAATAAGATGAGAAGATACTTCTTATTGTTTCGAATCTAAAAACAATTAGAATCGGCATTTCTGGAGGAAAAAATCATTATTTTAACGGAACGTATCGACCGCGCGGATCCATATCCAGCACCTTCGTCAAATACACCCCTGTCGTCGCTCTACGGGACACCCCACTACGCCGACATTATCTTTCCTCCCGTACGTTACACTCGCCCTCGCAGTATCCGCGTCCCTCCCCCGTCACTGTTCCACGGTAATTCCCCTTCCGCCTCGTTCCCCTGTTTTATCGAGATCTCACTCTCGCGTCCTTTCATGCGGTCAACTCGTTTCTGTCTCACTCCGTCACGTCTAACTCCCTCTCTTCTCTCCTCTACCATCTCGTGGGAAATTCTTCCCTTCCATCTCGCTATCCTCATCGCCAACCGCCTTTCACCCCCACACAACCTCTCGTCATTGGACTTGGGTCGCCTAGCCAGCCAGCCAGCCAACAGCCGAGATCAGCTGACGGCAAGCAGTTGCTACCACGGCTCCTCAAACGTGAAACTGTTCAGGCGAGTGGATCTCTTTGTTTTTTCGGTGATTCTTTGTCCCTTTCTGTTTTCTCTTCTTACATCGTTGCGACATTAAGCGTCACTTTGCTCAATATTTGCGTTGACGACGGCGTTTTGAAGCTGATACGCTTTACATAACCAACGAAAACGTCGACGAGACGATGATTCTTCCATGGTTGGTGCTTTAATCTATACAACCATTCTCACACGCGCATAATTGTCACAGTGACCATTGACGCACCGAGTAACGCGCGTAAGGAACTCCGGAGAAAAAAAGGCAACTATTGGTCGTATAAACTATAACTATAAGTACATAAGACGAATCTTGTGTGGGCCTATTCTGTAACTCTTAATGACAGTTTCGTTATCGTTATATTTGCGTTGCGCAGATATTATATATAGTAAAAAAGCTGCGCAACGAGAATATAACGATAACGAAACTGTCGTTAAGAATTACAGAATAGGCCACTGTTAAAAGTGATTCTTCCTGGTTCTGTAGTGTCTCGTTTGTTAAAACTATACTGCATATAAGATATGCGAGAAAGTGAGGGAAGTTTGAAAAAGAATGGAAAACAAGGCTTTCATACGCGAGAGCAAATGAAGTATTAGGGACAGCCTGACGACGAATTTGTTTATTTTATCGTATGGTATAGCGAACTGTTTCATGACGATGTGATGTGATGTGTGTGTTTATTTGTATGATGTGGAAATTCAAAACACGAACGATAGATTGGAATACCGGACATAAAGAAGGCAATTATAAAAGTGCTTCCAAATTTTTGTAAAATTACTATTACATCAGCTGTGTCCAATTGTTTATCCTGAAATTTTACAAAAGTATCTAGAAAAATATGTAAAAAACGACAAAACTCGGAAAAAGCAAAGTTATTTTGCGGCAAAATCTATTTGTTATAATTTATTATAAAACGGAAAAGATAAGACAATTAATCAGGATAATGCAAGGAGGATTATTTTGAAATGTATGATTGACGGATTTTTTCATCGTGCACTATAACTTTTACAAGATTACAGTTTTAGAAAATAATAATAATAATAATAATAATAATAATAATAATAATAATAA